AGACGAATTGTAGAAAAATTATAATAGGGAAGATGTAATATTAAAATTGGATTTAATCCCGTTTCGAGGTAAATAATTATAATATGAGTAGGTGAAAATTGGGGTGGAAAAAAATAAACGCACCTCGTTTAATTCGTAAATATCGTCTCGCTCCCTTTCTTATCAACCCTTTAAAATCTTATCTTATATGTGGTTTATTGCAGCCATCTCCTTCGAGAAAATTAACACTCTAATCTCACTTTAAAATAAACAATTCCTTCAAGCGAATTTAAAGAAGTTATCCAACGATTAATTTGAAATTGGCAATATTCCTGACGAATCGTAACAAATTTTGCTGTTAAAAATCTAATATAATACACGTCGATACAAAGTATAAAGTAAAAGCGTCACGTTATCTAAAAGTATTATATATTCGTTGGAGGAATTTTAGAAAGATAATAGGGAAGATGTAATATATTAAAATTGGATTTAATCCTTTCACTTCTCCACCCAAAGATTCGTTCAACGATCGTGCATGAGGTTGCTCTCTCGCGATTATCAAAATTCACCGATCGAAATTAATCCCGATAATAGATCGCGCGTTTGTGCAGCTGCTTCCGTGGAATTATATACACGCGTGTCCGCGAATTACGACAACAGGACCGGTTTTGAAAACCGAATCAACGCGTTAATGCGCTCTCCCCGTGTATTATCACAATGCCGCAAATAAATTATTAAGAGGGTTGGCCGCAATTTATTCGCGAGAATAGCCAAAAATTCGAATTTCTTTTTTTCTTTCCTCTTTTCTCTCAACAGAAGGGAAACGATAGCTTCGTTTAAAAACTATTTAAGAATCCAACTCTAGATCTCGAGACTTTATAAATTTTAGAAGAAAGATTCCCGATACAACGCAGAAAGAAAACTATAGAAAAATATCTCCTCTAACTAAGTGATGGACAAAATCGAATGAAGCCACTTCCACAATCAAACGATATTATTTATATAATAATAAATTCAAGCATTTTAATTCGAGTAAGTCACTCGAGAAGTAACCTCAATTTCTATCCAACTCTTCGGCTAATTCGTTACGAGCAACACCTCGACCATCACCTCGAATCGACAGCAGCTCTTGGAAAGAACGGGTCACTCGGTGGCTGCGTGTCGTGGGCCGTCAGCTTTAAGGGCGGCCTATTGGCGCGAACAATGCGCCGCACCGAGTATTTATTGCGGCGGCTAATACCGGTTTATTGGGATGTAAAATGAGGCGAGCTTGCTGACACGCTTGCTTTCCTTTCCACTCGTTCTCCACGCGTAATGGGACGCGCTTTGCCGCTCGTTATGAATAAAGGAGCGGCCCATTGTCGATCGTTAACCCACGTCGCGTTACCGCGCGTTTAAGACGTTCGATTCCTCGAATATATCGTGATTACTAGCGATCGTCTGTGGCGATTCTGGGGGCGAGTTTCGGAGAAGAAGGTGGAAGTTGATCGGTGGAAGATTTTAAGGTTTGTCGGTTTCGACGGTTCGAAGAGTGACAGATGGATGATCTATGCGCACGTGGAGTTTCATTGGATGGAATGAAATTTTGGATGGAAGAAAAAATTGATAGAGTAAATGAAGAATTAGGGGGGATTTTTGTATTCGTTCTAACTTTTCTCATTTTTCAGAAACGGAACCGAAGAGGAAATTGATTGGAATAAAAAGATAAGAGAGTGGAAGGAGGAAATAATTAAAATCGTATTTTGAACAATGGGTGTTATATTTTATTTAAGAAACACGTAGCAATATTTGTGTCCCACGTAAAAAGAAAATTCGAGGAATCGTTTCCGAATGGAGAACCCAATTTTATCACGGGTATCAATTCGAGCTTTTCCCCTAAATCGTGAAAAAACAAAAACCAGGGGAAAAAAGGTTTCGATTCCAGTAACTGTGCGCGATCAGCCAGATTCGTTCGCTCGTTCGCAAAAAAAAAAAAAGAAAAAAAGAGGAGGAAAAAGAAACGAGAGAGAGAGAGAGAGAGAGAGGAAGGTAAG